AGTTAAACAAACGAGGCGCAGTCAATCACAAAAGATTCGACGTAGCTTGTTTTGGTTTAACACGATTCCCAGCGATTTTTTAAGGTTTTGTTTTCTATTATTATTTTTTTGTTTTACTTTTGTTAAGACTTAAAGTAACACTGACTGATGGCTGACTAAGTCGATGCGTACTTAATATTTTTGCAATTTTTTTTCCACCTGCCTGCAACCAACAATAGTTCTCATTCATTCATTGGAAAAAAGGGGAAGCAAAAATTGAGTGTATTTAAAGAAAATTCTATGGAATTATTTGTGGTATTGTGTTGTTTTTCGAGAAGCGCCTTTTAAGTGCAATGTACTATTATTTTCAATGTCGCGAATTTATTAAAAAATACGCGATTATTCCATTTCGAGAACAGCAGGTGTTTAAGTATACTCGTGTGTAGTTTTTTTTTTTTAATTTTTTAGAACACCTCAAAGTGTTCCCTTTGCAATTGTAATATTTTCAAAGCTAAGTAGTATTTAAATTAACCACAAAATTGTCACAAATTGTAGGTTATTGCCAATTTAAAATTTGTTTATACAAATAAACTTTCATATATTTATGTATACTTATATACATACATATGTATGTACTTACGCATATATAACAATTAGCATAATTGTACGCCACCACAATTCAGGTGTTTGAAAATTGTTTAAGTTGCCAATTATAGCATTCAGTTTCTTCAAACAATTTATTTTATTGTTACCAATATCTATACGTATGCATCATCATTAAGGTGCATCACTCCCCTTCGACAAAATATTTCGCAGAGCTATTGAGATTTACGGAACTGGACCGATTTGAAAATTTGTACCTCCAAAAATCCCATTATTTTGATTCCGCTGGTGAAACGTTGAAACATTTTGATGCATACCTTTTAAATTTAAGCTCTTCGATCATCTGACGTGATCTTTTGACAAATTTATTTTTTTCCTACAAAAATCTCTGCCTTTTCAAATCGGATCATCTGACGTGATCTTTTGACAAATTTATTTTTTACCTATAAAAATTTCTGCCTTTTCAAATCGGTTCAGTTCACGGTAGTCGTAATATTTTGGGGAAGTCTTTAAACGAAAAAAATAAAATAAATTTAATTCCGGTGGAAAAACCATGACTTTTTTTTGGTGAGACACCCTAATGTACATATTTACTGCACATGCAAGCATACATATGTTTATGCATGCGAGTATTAACGCCGTTCAACCTTTCCAATTTGAACGGTAGCATTGTTGACATGCTGTGATTTCTCATCGTCGCTGTTGTTTTCAGTTTTTTGTGGAATTTTTTTTTATAGTTTTTTTGTTGTTGTTACATATTGATCTTCTGATCGTGTTTTCGACAATCTTTAAATTATTGCTAATTAAGCGCTTCATAGTCTTTATGGATTACTCATACGAGAATGGCTAATCATAAGTGCTTTTTAAGTTGAAACGGTTCTGAGTTAAATACAGACATGTATATTGGCTTGGCTTAATGAGCTTTAAAAAAAATAACGAGCGCTCATTAAGCGAGGGACCGTAGAAGATTGCCACGAATTCTCTAAAGTACAGACGCGTGCTTGCGAAGAGTCCTTTTCCATTGGCATATTTGAGATACGAGCCTCAAAACTGGACAATAAGTAGCGGGTAGTCGCTTAAGCTACCTAGCCCCAGGAGAATACTCAGATATGGAGACGGCAGATGATGTTACCACCTTGGCACTATATCGCACACCGTCTTCAAAAGAGGAACAACTCAAAATTGGCATTTTTGAAATTATGCATTAAAAATGTATACAAAGCTTTTATTTACCTTTCAGCAAAAGCTGGAGCAAAATTTTGTTATAATTTGTTAAAAAACCACCTTTCCCATATGATTACCATGTGTTAAAAAATAGTTTTTCGAGTTTTTTGACAAACATGTAATTTTGAGTTGTGCCACTTTTAAAGACGGTGCGCGATATGCACCTGCCCAGTCCAAACGGCCCTGGATGTTTCTTGTCGTTGTCTGGCTCCTGTCTACGCCAGTTGCATTGTTCGTAGGGCTTGGTGAGTGGTCAGGACGGTGTTTATACTGAAGGCCGACAAGAGCTCTCACATCTGAACCAGGGCTATATAGTTCAGCTTGTAGCCGAACTTCTCGACGTTGATGTCGCATCGATAATTCCAATTAAGGTTGGTAAATATCACAGAATGTGCACGGATGTCTCATCCTCTTCAAGCCAAAGCCGACTGGCTAGATAGCCAGTGAGTAATCTGATTTTAGCCCCCTTTACTAGACTTATAATATCCACATCCGTATGTCATCTAATGCACTTATCTGAGACCAAGTAAAGGCTACCTCTCCGCTTCTGTAATTTATATGTATTTAAAACTCTGGCTGATTCCCCTTCTGAAGAGTTTCATTAGAAATTTTTTGTCAAATTTCCCTTGATCATTTAACTGAGAGCGAACGAATATAGCCTTTGTAAGTAGTCCCGCCAAAAATTCTTTCTACAGGCCCATATGACTTTAGTGACTTTACAAAGAGTTTTATCTAGATGAGAGAACCAATTAAGGGCCGTTTGCACCATGTCTAGTTAACGCTAACTGGAGGTACATCCTTCAGTTAAGCACGTTAACTGCTTTATCGATCACATGTAATATGATGGGTGTCGATAACGTCGATAAAGATGTTTAACTGGGAGTTAGAATTAACTAGACATGGTGCAAACGGCCCGAAGTGTTCCAGCAAGCGTAACTTACACCTATTTGACATCAAATGTGTGTATTAAAGTAACTGCTCTCCTAGGCTGACCAAACAATTTGAACTACATAATCTATAATGAAATACTAACGTCTTGCGGGAAAATCTTAGGGTGGTAGACCTCGTATACTTAACTGAATGTATATTATGACTGTAAAGTAGAGGGTTGGCCTGGAATTCGAGAGTTAACCCTACGACTGAGAGGCGATCACTCAAAATACTACAAAGACTTGCTTGTGTAAATATCGTGGCGGCAATGAAAGTTATTCTCGAAGTTAACCTAATGAACATTGGAATAGGGCTGGCAGCTAAACGTTCTCTAACGAATTTCATCCGGGAGGTTTGTGGAAAAAAGAAAGTGGCATTATCCCGTAACATTGAAATTCTCATAACTCATCTGTGCACAGATCAAGCATAGTAGTTCCAATGGTCTGATTCTAACAGTGATGATTCTAACAGGTCTGTACTGAACGTTACCTAACATTTTGTAACCTGAGTCCTTCCTTGCTGTAGGACCTAACACGTTAAAGGAAGCGCTCAGAAAGGAAAATACGAAACTGAGGGAACTGCATTGGCGAAACACCAGGGGTCACCATCAAGCTAAGAGCTTGTTAGGAGTTACAATCTAAAGAGCTACAGGCTTTTCATAAACCGGTATTTTAACGGATCGTTGTAGGCTAAGAGGCCATTTGCATAACCTAGTGAGCTGGTCAAGTGATCTATGTCGCTTTCGTGACTTCTGGGGTGTGAGACCTTTTCACGGAGATGGGGAGAGGTGCATAGAACATCTGTGGTCACGAGAAGAGCACATACACTCCCTACCCCGGTGATCTATTCCAAAATATATAGAGATTTTAGGGCTATATACAGTGTTGTGATAAGATGAAGGCACAATATGCCTAGTAGTAACTTACTCCATTTATATCTATTTATCTATCTATCTACCTAAACACCGAGTATACAGCAGAAGAGAAAAAAAACGTGATCGTATGGAATCTTACCTAAAACCTATCTAGAGACTAGAACAGTCTTTATTTGCATATAAAATATTTAGGCATTTTTACAAAAAAAAAATTCTTCTACTCGCTTCATCAAATGTTATTTTAGTCCAACTGAGCGTAGTCGAAATTTATATTGCTTTAATTTTTAACAAACAAAGGAATACACATTCAAAACTAGGGAATCCCACGCAATTAAGCAATAGGAAAAAACCGATCAACTCAGCTTGTTTCTAATTTTAATGTGAGCCAATTTTTATAAATGCTTTGAACCAAAAAAGGCGATACTTAATGTCAGCTTAACTGACTTTTGGAATTATAATTACGCATATCATTGCTGCTGCAGTGACTCACAATAAATTCTTAACTGTTCACGGCTGCACACACACAGAATTGTAATAAACCAAATATGTAAATAGATATATTTTTTACATATCCAGCGGCGTCTGCGCAGCCATTGAACTCTCTACACTACGGCTAGCAGTTTAAGTGGGTATCATTGTGGTGTGGGAATTGCCCAGCTATGAGCGCTGATTTTTAACAAATACACATCACTACTCAGTATGGGCTTGAGGATGTATGCGCGAACATCCGGAAACGCGCTTTGGTAGCAGCTGTCCGATGAGTTTATGGGTAAAAGCTGAAGTGTTTACTGTCAGTTTCCGATATCCGTCTACGTACAAATAACAAGAACTTGCTGCACAAGCTGCTGACAAGTGTAGTTTCCAAAATTGACGGATATTGGTAATTTATAGAGTACATTATTATGCTTGTAGTCTGTTAAGTAACTTTGATAAATTTTTTATTTATTTTTTATTCCATTTTCCTATATTTTTTTTTTGATTCTTCGACACTTCGCAGCGCTTGCGAATGCTATAAATTTTAATGCCAGTCAATTGCGACAAATCTGGCGTGACTGAAGTGACTGACGGCTTAGATGGATAAAAAAAATAAAATAAAATTATAATAGTCGTTTTATAGCGCCAAAGGCTCAATTTATGGCTTGCGAAACAATTTAAGTTGCTAAATTTAGCACTTAAGCTCGCAAAGTGTTTTTTTCTTCGCCGTTCTCTCGTGCCAATCAGTCTAATTTACTTGGCATTCATTTTTTAACACGCACGATTTGTTACGCGCGGCGACAATTTATTGATTAATGATTAATTATAGCGTAAAGTAGCGCATTTTATTTTTTAATTTCGTTCGTTTTTGTTTACCTTTTATAACACCTTTTTATCTTATATTTTTTTTTTGCAGGACGACGACATGGGTTTCAGTTCGCGCATGGATTGCTGCGGGCAATTCGTCAAGTACAGTCTTTTCATATCGAATTTCATAATATTTGTGAGTAGAAATGAAACTTAATAACTAAAATTTCTTATTGCTCGCATCTCTATTGTGACCTTAATTAAAGAAACTTTCAGTCTTGAAATCATATCACATTTAATTTACTTAACTTTTTGTAGTAATTTTAATTCTTTTTTTTTGGTTTTCAGATTGGCGGCGCCACTGTTTTCACACTCACACTATGGACCCTCGTCGATCGTAGTTTCATGAACGAATTGTTGGGTACAAATCTCTTCTCGGGCGCAGTTTACGTTTTATTGGTTACTTCGGTAGCGATTTGTTTACTCTCGTTTTTGGGTTGTGTGGGCGCGGGCAAAGAAGTGAAATGTCTGCTGTTAACGGTAAGTTCGAATGATATATGTATATAATTAAGCATAGCGAAAGTCGAAAATAAACAAGTGAGATTTTTGGTCCGTTTCTATTAAAAAAATTAAAAGTACCCATATTTCGCGCTCCCACATTTGGTAAGCATTTAGTCGAACTTCCCATCCATTTTGTGTGGTCTCAAGCAAATGAAGGAATCTACAGCTTCATACTGTAGCTGTCTTTTTTATGTTTGTGAATTTTGTTTACTCTTAAAGTATTCAACTCAGAACCTGCTGGCGATAGAGGTTGAGGGCGGTCTCCACTGCGATGGAAAGATCAAGTGGAGAGGAACTTGGCTTCATTTGGCGTTTCTAATTGGCGTCAGTTGGCGCAGAAGAATAACGACAGGCGTGCTTTATTGAACTCGGCCAAAAGCGGTTAGATGGTTACAGCGCCAAATTAGAAGAAGCTTTTTCGTGGCAAAATTTTACGCCATTGCCTGCCGATGGATAACCATTTTCCGCTTCACACATTTTACGTACAGTGATTGTCCGTGCTGCTCCTCCCATCTGCGGTGTGCGCTTTCATGTCGTAACTCAAATGGAGGAACCGAACGGCAGATGGTTTTCTGTGAAAAGTTTTCACGGCAAAAATACATTCAGAGGAAAGCAAGCCTGCCGACCGGTATTAAAAAAAAAAAAACTTTGTTTGGATGGTCGAACTAGGAATCGAGCCTGGATTATACAATGTGGCAGTGCGCATGAAACTTTATTGTGCAAAATTGGTATCGATAGCTATGTACTTTTCCCACTTTCTCCATCCATGGCTTCCGCGCTAATAAAACTGCTCGTCTTTGGAGACCAAGAAAGTATCAATCCAATTTTTGATATCTTAAACAGAAGAAAAGCGTACTCGCTCTGCATCGACCAGAACAAATGGTAATCTGATGATGTAAGTTCTGAGCTTAATATAAGGCGTTTACAAACGTTGATGGCCTTCCTGCGCGCTCCTTGTCGTTTGTGAGAAAATCACCAGTTTGGAAATCTCAAAACCAGTACTCACAGGTTTTACTTGATGGAGCATGCACTCCGTAAGCCTCACACAGCAGCCGATGACTTCCTGCTGCACTTTTCTTCAGATGGAAGCAACATATCAATGCTTCTCGCGAATGGCGTTTTGTAGGCACACACGCTTTTTTTATGAATCCAGGGATCGAACCCAGGTCCTACGGAATGGTAGTGTGGACCTCTAACCACTCAGTCACCTCTTTCTCATCCCTGCAGCTGCGGCAAAAATCATTGCTTGGCTATCCCAACTTTTTTTAGAGATTTAATAACAGCTTGGCTGCCAGAATAAGTAGTGATAGACCATCCTGGAAGGCGGGGGTTATGAGCACGAAAATTTTATAAATTTTGTGCGGTTTGCGTAGCTACAAGTGTTCTTTGATGATCTAGCTTCGAAAGAGATATTTAGTTCTTACCTAATCACACGATATTAAGTATAACTTTGGGAAATACAAAAAAAAAACATGCCTGTACTATAAAAATCTTTTCTGTTATCCAAACACTAAACTAACCTGACTTTTCTTTGCTTTAAATTTCAGTATTTCATAATCGTTGCGCTGGTGTTTGTAACGATGCTAATCGGAGGCATACTGGGTTATGTCTTCAGAGAACGCGTACAGCAGACGATGCGACAGGTAAGTATCCCTGAATGAATTAATTTTTTTTTACCTCATTTTAATTAAAATTTCTACCTCAGGAAATGCGCGCCACCATGGCACTCTATGGAAGCCGTCGCGATGTCACCATGGCGTGGGATCAGACGCAAGAGCGCTTGCAATGCTGCGGCGTGGACACTTGGCACGATTGGAATCGTTATGGACCCGTACCGGAGTCGTGTTGTCAGGAATTGTTTGGAGGACAACGCAAAGACTGTAGCATCTTTCCAACCATCACCAATCTCTATAGTCAGGGTTGTTTATATGTAACGACAAACTTCATACGCGATCATGCGGCGTTAATTGGTGGGACGGCAATAGCGGTGGCCATACTAATGGTAAGTAGTGTGGGTATTTTTTAATTGAAGCAATTTAGCTGATCTTTTTTTTTTTTGATTTTTATTTACAGATATTTGGCATGATATTCTCATGTCTGCTATTTAATATGATTGAATAGTGAAAGGCGTTGGGAAGGCGTGAAAAAAATGATGTAGAAGAGGACAGAAATAATAGCAAGCACATAACTAAACTGATTAGCAATTTAAAGCGCTTACACACACACACACGCACAAAAACACTTCAACACAGACACATACACCCAGCAGCGAAACTACTCGATGAAGCGTCACTGCAGAATGCATTCCATTTGCTGCTGGACACGCATGTAAAAATTCATACACAAAATACATACAAACATACATACACTTCTACGAAATATGCGCAATCGCACAAAAAACCGTCAATTCGGAATTTTTGTAACAAAATTTGGCGCCTGCGACGCCTAAAATTATGCATCCACACAACTCTATAAATGTTTGCTTGTAAAAAGTATGAACGAAATATTTGTTTCTTGTTTCATTTACCGTTCAATTTCATTTAGTTTTTAGTTCTTTAAAAAATTCTATAAATTTCAAGGCATTGAATTTTTGGTTTTTCTTAATTTACGTTGATTGCCTGTAAAAATTTGCGATATATGTAAATCGCAACTGAAGTAAAAAGAAAGTATTATTTACGAATTTGTAAGTGAATGTAAAAATATACACCCCGTGTCATAATTATAAGCGCACCACAAAATTACAAGTTTTAACAATTTGTTTTTTTTTTTTGTTATATATTTTGTATGCTCTTTATATAAAAATATAGGTTATTCTTTAACAAAAACTGTTCAACAAAATGTTTGAAACATTGGTAAAATTTCAAGCCTTTTGATTTGATTCGGAGTATGCAGTTTTGTAGCTCATTCAATTCTAGCTAATAAAGTGCAATTTAAAAGTAGTTGGCACTTACCATTGATTTTTGACATTTTTTGTTGGTGATGATGTCAGTAATTTTCTCCCATACGAAGCATGTTCAACGATATTTTTATATGAAAAAAAGTCAGCAATGCCTTCAAAAAAAAAAATGCCAAAAATCAATGATAAGTCCTATCTACTGTAAAAATCCACTTTATTGTACTAAAATTTAATTAGCTACAAAGTTGCTTACCCAAAATCTTTCTAAAAAATCGAATTACTCAAAACCTTTCTAATTAAAAAGCTTGAATTTCTACCAAAGGGTGTTGATTTTGCTTAAAAATTACACAAAGTTTGTAACTTGGATATATACGGTTTTGTTAAAGAATAAACTATATTTTGTTTAACAAAAAAAAAATTAAATAAAATAACAAAAAAAAATTCTTTAAACTTGTCAAAAAGTGTAGTGCGCTTATAATTATGACACGGGGTTTATATATCCATGTATATGTACTTTAGTAACTCTTGGCATTGTTATTAGGCGTGCTGAATATGTAATTATTTTTATTTGTAGAAAACGTATATGTAAAAAATGCAAGTGCACTTAAACTTAGGGATTTCGTATGAGAAGTGTATAAATGATTTTTCGAATTGGAACGGAACCACTTAATACCTTAAAATTTATTGAAAATGCGAAAAAATGTTCTAAAAATTTTGTTTCTAATTTCAAAAATCCTTTGTATACTTTTAGGCTGCAAAAATGTTCAATGTAAAAGCAGCTACTCTGCGCTAAAGCTCTATTCTGTGTAAGGTTTATTAGTTTGTTAAGTATCAATATACATAAATTTACATACGTTCATATTTTAGGTACTACTTAAAAATAAAAAAAATTTAAATTAAAAAAAGTAGTATGTACAATAGGTTCACATTAGGATGGTCCTTAAAATATCAACATTTAAATTTTGTATGGGGCATCTCTTTTTTTTTGTTCTACGTACAAAATAAAGATATTAACGAAAAATTAAAATTTCTTTTAAAATTTTTAGTTTTTGAAAACCTTGTTTTTTCTTTAAATCGTAAAAATTCGAAAAAATTTGTTACTTCAAATGTGATATATGTATTTGAGAAGTTATTGAAATTTACTCATATAATTTCATGGACTTGCTGAGTTATTTATAGTTGGTTAAATTTAAAATTTTGTCTTTTCTTTGCATTTAAAAGTTTTTTCAAACCCTGTTACGCGACCGCAATTTTTATTTTTATTTTGGTGAGGTGCCCCATGCTGTTGCTATTTTTAAGGATCACCCTAATATACAACTATTACTTATGCTGTATAAACTCGGTTAATAGTACAATTGAACAAAATTAGATTTCATTATACATAATATTATTAGTACTTAAGCTTTATCAACTGGCGAATGTATTCCATCCAATTATACCCACTATGTAATAAATATTTTTTCCATGATTAAAGACTTGAATGCCTAAAAAATATGTATCTTAATTTAGCAGCAGTAATTCAAAATATGTAATTTGAGCTTTTATTCTGTAATAATTAATCCGTCCTATGTAATCTTACTTTTAAATGTACATACATATGTACTCGTAGCAATTACAAAGTTGATTAATAAATAAAAGTCAAATAAATTATTGTTAAGCACAAGAATTATAGAAATTTTTATGAACAAGTTTAGGTTTGGACATTTTTTTTCCGAGATTTAAAATTTGTTAAGATAACTCTTTGTTTCCTGCCCATTAAATAAGAAGAAACCAATTTGATCAAGTTTGTACATAAGTATGTACATATATGAGAATTGAATACGATACTTTATCAAATGCCTTGCTGAAATCAGTGTAAATGACACCTGTGTGATTGTTCAAGTTTGTGGTGAATTCACCCAATGAAACTTAAGGCTGGAAGCCAATTGGAGATACGATATGAAGATATTCCAATTTCCAATGTGGATTTTCAGATTTTACCTTAATTGGCGAACCAACCCATTCTCAAACAAAATGACACAGTTTTGGTATGCAGTTCTCCATTTGAAAAAAGCTTAGATGTCAATTTAAATTCAAACCTTGGAAAAAATTTCGGAGAAAAATGTTTTTTTAAGGCTTACATATTTCAATTAACTGATGAATTGAGTTGAGTTTTTGAACAGGTAGCAACCCTCCTACATGTAGTTTAGAAATAAAACCTTTTTGACCCCATTTTTATTAATACAAAAAAATCGGTACTATTTTTCCATCATAAAACCGTGCGACAGTAAATTTTACACGCAACAAATAAAAAAGTCTAAGTTCGGGCGGAGCCGAATAAGTATTAAACATATGAGGGATTCACAACGGTATCGTAAGTGTCGTATTGTTGTATGTCGTAAATTTCTTAATTTCTTAATGTATAAGGACGATTAGGTATTCAAAATGTCTTATAAAAATTGTATCTTGAATATCCTGGACATTTTGCAATCATTAGATATTTTTGAAAAAATTATATGTTAAGGACTAATATACACTCGATTGCATACTAGAATTAGAGTCGTCCTTCTTACTTTATTAGCTTAAAAAAGTAAAATTAATTATAAAGGCATTTTTAATACCTACTCGGCCTTGTGACCCAAAAAATTCAAATTTTTTAAATTCTACAGAATTTTCTCTTTCACTTGGTACCCATATTGTTATTCAACATTTTTTAAATATTTTTTGGAATAAATTATATTTTTGAGGCTACAAAGATCTTGAACAAAAAAAAATATCCTGGCGTCAGAGAGAAAAACCTAAAACGCAGTTTTACTATATTTGGCCCACAGTTTCTTGAGTATATTGAGTGCTTTGTGTGTTTCAAGATTTTCATGTTTATGTCGCATGGTGTAATTTAAAATCTATTATATTTTAAGACCTACTGTTGGAAATCTTGAAATCTAATAAGCTTCATACAGCCAGTTAGAAAACCGCGACCTTTTTATGTGGGGCACTCTAATATATTTTATATAAAGAACTTCGCAAATATAAACACCAAGAAAAAACCGACTAAAAAAAATATCAGTTTAAATCAATTTAATCTTTATTTAATTTTTTTTGTGGTGAGGCACCCTAATATACATACATATATATAGATAAATACCAAATAAAAAATACAGACTAAAAAAAGCTCTATTTAATGCAGAAAATTGCCGCTCTAGGTAACAGCGAAAACGATCAACATTAGATAGGTACAAGATCATGGCATCTCGAAATACACATTTGAATAAAAACAACAAACAAAGACAAAACGAAAACTAAATTTCTGCGCCATTTAATTCGCTTAGCAAATCTAAAAGTTTTTTCTGATGCTTCGCTTTGGTCACACCCAAGCGCTGAAAGTCCTCAGTGCGTATTTTCAAGAACTGCTCCAAATCCAAATTTTGCTCCTCAAACGCCTCCACGTACTGCTCCAGGCCGACGCTGCGCAACAAAGTCGACACGTTCATGGTGCGATCGAGCAAATTCGTGTTGCTGAGATTTTTTGATGCATTAATGCCGTTGTTGTTGTTGTTTTTGTTCGTGAATGTAGCATTCAATTTATCCGAATCACTGCTGCTATTATTGCTGTTACTGCCACTGTTGTTGTTATTGTTGTTGTTGCCAAAGCTCCCAAGTATTGCTGCGCTATCGGGACTTGCGATTTCAATGCTGAAATCTGTATCCGAAATTGTGGTAGAATTTAAAGTGAAGATTGGCGGTGAGTCGCTTACAAAATGTGAATTGGAGAAGCTCTTCTGGCATGGTTGTTGTTGTTGCTGTTGTTGTTGCAGCGGCAGCGCCGATTTTTGATGCGTACCTTTGGGGTTCTTAGATGCTTTGAAGATTTCGTTGTTAGCATTGGACATCATCGGCATGGATATCGGTATGCCTTCCACAGCGACACCGTTAACCAGCGTCTGCGTGCCTTCGGTGATTGGTGACAGGCCAGGCGATTGGAAATTTTTTATTGTCGGCGTAAAGCAACGAACACTGATGCGATTCACAATTAGATTGTGTGTCTCCTGCAGGCAACTCGAATCGAAAACCATGGTGGGTGTGACCTCATACTTGAACTCCATCACTTCGGCCAGCGTGGGCGTTTGACAATCTTCCATCATTTTGGAAAAAAAAACGAAAAACTATTTATGTACTCAAAATTAAAAAAATATAAAATTTGAATTTTTTTTTAGTTAAGCACATTTGCAATACACTGCTCACTAGCAATGACGATACAAACTAAATGTGGATTAGTGCAGTTATGTTGGAATGAATAGCAGCGCGCGATGGAAGCCGTTAGGCATTGGCGCGCTGTCATATTTGCTGTCTGTGCGTTGGAGATTGTTAATTGAAGAGTTGATTTTTTGAGTGCTAAATTAATTTTGTATAATCTTGGTCTGTAAATATGTATGTAATAAGATTTTATTTTTACGGAAATAATTGTCACTCGTTAAAAAATGTAATTCAAATTATTTAATAATTATTATAATCAACGTTATCAGTACTGCACCGGTCGTTCGATTTAGAAAAATGAGGTGTAAATGTGTGGAAAGGTTTATTTTTTTCGAAAAGAGTTGCCACTTGTTAAAAATAAGTTCAAATCATTTAATATGTTAAATGAATTAATACAAAATGGGTATTAGCCGGAATTTTTTTGAACAGCTTTTATTTCTTAATTACATGTAGGAGAGTTGCCACCTGTTCAAAAAATAAAATTCGATATGTACTAATGCAATTAGGTAATTGAGATATATATCACAAATTGGGCGTTACACGAAAGAAATTTAGAAGATTCAGAGTTTAATTAAATGATACACAAGTTTTATGAAATTTTAAAAAATTTGACACCGTAGTCGTGTTAAGAACTCTTTACTTTAAACATTAACAATATTTTTTAGGTGTTGAAAAAGGATTTCCACCTGTTTAAAAGGTTAAGTTCAAATTGTTTAATAAGTTAAATTATCAGAAAAAAGAAGGCTACCAATGGAAATGGGTTTGGTGTTGCCACATGTTTCAAAATTCAAATTTATCTGGAATTACGGCAATTAGTTAATTAAAATATGTATCAAAATATGGGTGCCGAATGAAATAGGTTAAAGCAGGTTTTGGTTTGAAAATTTTGTAGAGAGTTACCACCTGTTTGAAAAGGTGAATATAGAATATTTTCTAGGTATTTGAAAAGGTTTATCACCGTTTTAAAAAGTTGGGTTCAAATTATGTAATAAGTTAAATTAATTAATAAAAGATGTGTATTAACCGAAATGGTTTTGGAAAGGATTTATTTCTGAACTATATTGAGAAGAGGTGGCAAGTATTTGAAACATAAAATTCAACTGCTACAGCCAACCAACAATAAGCGAAACACAGAGGTCTGAAGTTCCTCAAGACTCGGACCTGGAAAGTGTCGTCTGCGTTGACACGTTGGCGTAGAAGGACGCTACGCTCTCCGGCAAAACCCGAAGATGCTTCTTCAGAGGCAACGAGACGGGGGGGATGAAGGTGAAAGCACGATAAAAGGCAGCCCTTAAGGTTCATACAAATCTAGTCTAACGAAGGAACAGGAAGAACGAATGGCTTGGGCTACGTCCGGAATGGAAACCCCTGCGAATGGTTTCATTTATCAGACCCGCTGTTCGCAAACCACATTGAGGAGGCCGTGATGAAAAGGCAGCGATCCTTGGAGAGCGATACCATGACTCTTGGAGAAAGGCTGAAGTCCAAGGTCGACGCTATAAAGCCTAACGTCGGATGGGACGGCGAAAAACTCGCAACGTCAAGGTCTGCGGCGGAGGCGGCCAGTAAGATTGCCAGGAGACACATGATCGTGACACTTATTGACCAAAGCAACCCGCTGGACCAAATGTTACGAGAGCGGTGGAAGGTGGTTGAAATGCAACTACTGGAAACTCTCTTCTCGAAAATGGAAGCCGACTCAAACTCACCCCTGGCCAGCATTTGACGGAGTAGGGTGGTTTCGAAAATATTGAATGCAAGGACGACCTCTCTCTGGCATGGATAAATGATGCAGAAAAAGCGCTTCAAAACCTTTGGGAAGGGGGCATCCTTGGAAATTGTCGACAATGTCGCGGGAGCACAGGATTACATCCTTCAAATAAACAAGACGGCAGAGGACATTCTATACGAAAGGATTCCCTTGCCCCAAGAAATGCCACCCAATTGACAACAATGAAATCCAACTGACAAAACGCGAGAGGTGGAAAAGTATCTAGGCCTAGACGAGATCTTGAACGCCACTCTAAACCAACGTTATGTGGAGTGGTTGACCTGGAGAACGCACCCAACCAGGGGAAGGAACCAGAGATCAATGCTTAAGGTCCTCCAGACAAACCTCCACAAAACGATGTGGCCTTAGTACAAGACCCTTGGATAGCCTCGAGTAACAATGTCTTAGGACTAAGGTCTCAAAACTACGTAGCATACACCCCGATATATCAGGAAATATCAATGCTAGCGATTTCGTATTCTAGAACCTTCTTGTAGGAAATTGAAAAGTTTGCCATTAATATTGTTTCTTTAGCTCTTGTTATTTATGAAAAAAATTGGGTTTAGTGAACCGTACTACCTCGCTGATGGGAGTTAGGGTTACGCCGCAATGCGCACTTTTGTAGAGCATTCAATTCTGAGGAAACCCTATCACTGACCAAGATTATACCATAAAATGCCTCTGAGCTGTAGAATTTTGAAGAAAAAAATCAAAGTTAACGTGTATTTGCACGCATTGGTCGAGCACTGGAAATTTGAAATTCGAAGCTATTTACGACTGTTACGTGAAAACTTGTAGACTTTCGAAGTTTTCGAGGCCGTTTACAATTTACTTTGTTTAATACTTTATTTAATTTTGTATGGCAGTTACTAAGTGAGTACTTTAACAAATATTTTTTCTTAAAACTAAAAAATTTTAAATCAAATAATTAAATGCAATACAAATGCTGGACGAAGACATGTAGTAGTACATAGTTAACTCCGCTTTTCCGCTGATTAAAATTCAAACTGAGCGACACGCCACACAAGCGCACATATCACATTGACCGCTGCTGTTACCAATCCGAACTCCATGTGCATATTCCATCGCCCGTTCGCAGCCGACGTCTCTGCCCACCATTCCCAAACGCCGCCATGTAGGGCAGGATCACAGCGCGGATCACTGTAATCCCGACGCGCACTCTCCACTGCGCTCTCCCTAAACTGTTCCACCTCCTGTGCCAACAGCTGTACCTGTAGCGGATAAAGTTTGGCTAAATTATAACGCTCGCAAGGATCCTTTTCGATATCGAAGAAACATGGCTCCAATAACGGCTCACAACGATACACAGCCTGTGTGTAATTCTCCTCGTTGTTGGGGCATTGATGCGTTGCTTGCGCACGCAATCGTTCCACTTGTTCCACGCTGAGCTCATCATTGCCCAGCACGTGGTGTACCTCTGAGGAGAGCACCTGCTGCACATAATATGGCGCGGTGGGGTCCTGCTCTGTCGTTGGTAAGTCACCCAACCAGCCATCGTAGAGACCATTGAAGCTCGTGCCATTCACATACTTTAGCGTGCCACGTGTGAAAGCGCTATAGCCGACGTTGTCGTCCAGCACGTGAATCAGGCGTCGCGGTTGCGCTGCACCATTTTCGCTGAGCACGCGCCATAAATTAACGCCATCGAGTTTCATTTTTGACGGTAGTTCAATGCCAGCAGCGCTCGTCAATGTGGGTAGCCAATCGATGGCGTGCACTACTTGATTGGAAACATAGCTCTGTTGCTGCAACAGTGGGCTCCAAATCAGACCAGCGGAGCGTATGCCGCCTTCCCAAGGTGACTCCTTTTGCTGTGGTCGAAGGTGTTAAATAACAGTTAATTTCGGTTAATTTATTTGTTGCTTAATATGTATACTTACGCCGCGGAAGGGATGATTGGAGCCAGCATTCGAGTGTATGCCGACAGTGGGTGCACCATTGTCTGAGTATAGCAGTACGATTGAGTTGTTAAGCATAGCTTTGTTGGAGAGCGCACGTATTACGCGGCCAACGCTGTCATCCAGGCGGGAGATCATGCCTAGAGGAGAATTTGAGACATATGTAAATATGTAATACAAAAAGCACCGTTTAAGAGATTTAGCACAAACTGGAATTGGAACTGGCCGCTGAAATCATTGTCCTAAAAGTTTCGATAAAAAATCATGTTTTTCTTCAGTATTCCTATCTTTTAGCAATCGATTAAAAAACTAGAAGCAATTGTAATACGAACGTTCGAAAGTAAAAATCTGTGTGCATTTATCGGTCTAAAAAAAGGTGGGCATAAATTTTTGGTAATTTAAAAAATGGACGTACATTTTTGGTCATTTAAAACCCGGGCGTAATTTTTTGTTCACCCTAAAGTGGACACTGATATTATGTCGTTTGAATCAAGAACCAACATTTTGTGTCACACGTGTGCAGACATTTTTTTGTCTATATAAACCGGACATGCATAAATTCTTGCTTATTTGAAAATTGTACAAAAATAGTTGGTAATATAATGTTTTTTATTTCTGGTATGTCCAGATTTTAAGCAATATAATCTTTTGGACATATTTCCATTTTTGGTATTTTAAAAATTTGACATAAATTTGTTGTCATTCAGAAAATAGATAAAGTTTGGTTATTTAAAAACTGCACATAATGTGTGAATTGTTTAAGAAGTGGAAATACTTTTTTTATTTTTTAAACAGGTAAAAAAATTGGATATAATTTTTGGGCAACTAAAATCTACGCACACATTTTTTATCATTTGAAAATTGTTGGTTATTTTTAACTGCGCACACATTTTTTTTTATTAAAAACTGGACATAAATTTTTGGCCATAAAAAAACTCGTCACAATTTTTTGGTATTTAATAACAGTATATAAACTCTTGGTTATTTAGAAAAGGACATAAATTGTTGATTAAAACTGGACATACATTTTTGGACATCAAAACATAGACATAATTTTTTGGCATTTAAAAAGTGGACATATTTTTTAGTAATACTAAATGGGACATAGTTTTCTCGTACCTAAAACCAAAACATAAATTTTTGGTAACTTAAAAACTGAAAAAAATTTGAACATATAAATTTTGGATTATTTTAAAACTGGACACAAGTATTGAGTTTAAAGAGCGGGCATGGGTTTTCTGTCATAAAAAAACGGGAAATACATTCATGGACATCAAAACACAGAATTTTTAGGAAGAAATATATTTGTGGTTATTTAAAAACGGCGTACGTAAAAATGGCGTGGAAAACTGGGCATAATCTTTTGACTTTGAAAATAAAACCGTTTACATGTTCAATGTTTACTGTTCAGTTTCATATTTGTAATTCAATAGTCTGTTTCTATATTTTAACGTTCATGGAATTTAACTCTTTCTCATTTGATGGTTTTTTCGTTTGAGAAAGCTACAGCAAACCTCGTTTATCGACCGCATATTACCCGGATTAGTGCACCTAACTTAGTTTGTTGTTACCAAGTTCTCTCTCTAGACGAAATCGGCAATCTTCAGTTTGGTTGAAAAAATTTCCTCCAAATTCTTGCTAACGAATCTTCAAAAAGCTGCCTAATATGTATATTAATCCTTCCACCCACCTGCATAAGTGCGCCTCTTCACATCACTGATGTGCGAAAATTTCTCCACCTCCTCTTCAGGCGCCTGCATTGGATTATTCTCATTACCGGTGTGCACGGCCAAGTGGCTCATTAGCAGAAACAAAGGCTTTGCCGCCGCATCATGTTGGTAGATAAGGCGCTCCGCTTCCTGTGTGAAAACATCAGTTGCATAAAGGCCATCAGCCTCAGGCCATGGCGACAAGTCGCGACGGAAATCCAAGCCGGCCGAGTAATTGCGGTCCTAACGAAGAAAAAATTTAACAAAAATACTCGTAAGTCTTTGAAAAATAATATAAAATTTCGGATTAAATTCATTTTAATAAAATTTAAAACTCAAACCATAGCCATTAAATTTTCTGCAGCTTTCCACTCACCAGCATATGCATTGTGTGATTGTAGTAATCAATGTAGCCGGAATAGTAGCCGAAATGATGATCGAAACCGCGCAATGTAGGCGTCAATTCTTTGCGCCAGAAACCCAAATGCCATTTACCAATTAAATTTGTTGCATAACCGGCATCGTGTAATATTTCGGGCAGCAGACGTTCGCCGAGTGGCAGCCCCCACGGCTGATCGTTAATGATGACGGAGTGTTGCATACCTAAAAGGCGAATGTCGTTGATTATGGAGGAAAAAAAGAAGAATCTTAGATGCGGCAAAAATCAAAAGTTGAGCATAAAAAAATATGTGAGGCAACTGTACCCTTTTATGACAAAAACAAAGGCTGTAAAAAATGTAAGGATTAAAAATTAAAAAAAGGCATCGCCACTGTATTGCCTTTTAATTAAGCGTGGCATTTTGTGTGCGCTTTCGTTAAGCCACTTCAATTAATCCTTTCTCCCGCCACCAGACTCACTTAGCTATGCATTACAAATACATATATGTATATCTACTGGCGCTACTGGCGCTACTGGCATACTACTCACCTGTATGTATTGGATATTTGCCGGTGAGCAACGACGCACGCGACGGTGTACACAAATTGGGCACATAGTGACGATTCAATATGATGCCATTGTAGGCGAGCGCATCAATGTTCGGTGTTAATATCTGATTCGAGCCATGAAAGCTGACATCGTTAAAGCCCTACAAAAGGTAGAGAATATTTGTAAGCGTTTGAGTACACGGCGTATGAGTAATCTTGTTGAAAGTGAACAGAAATGAATGAACGAACGTTTCTTGCTCTCATGAAGTGCGTTTAGTCGTGCAGGGTATATTAAAGCTGCGTATATGTGAATTGTAATCTCTTTTAATTAAGAGCTTTACGGAAATTTTTTTTTGCCGGCCAAAGCGCTTAAGTATTAGGAAAGTAGTACGAATTCTTTATTGCATTGCGTAGAGAATTTGTAAATTGAAATTAAAAAAGAAAACGTCAAATAGCAAAGTAAACTACCAGCTTTTGTAAGGGTCGAGGTACGATTAATATTGATGTCAAGGTGATATATACATATGTAGTTTAAGGGAAAATGCGTTCGATTAACTTAGTTCGGGAATCTTTAAATAGCCCAGGGACCTTAAATAATGAGGCGTATTCTTGTTTTCGTACGATTCAAAAATTTAAAATTTTTGTATAGAAAAGTAATGGAAAATTTAAAATTTTCAACTCGTACGAAAACAAGAATACGACCCAATGAAAGAGAAATTGTTGCGTGCAAACTCCTTACCAAGGTGTGTTAAACAAGGTGTGAGTGACAACTCAGGTAGGCTCCCTTTTGAGGTAATATTATGCCAAAAAATATAAACAAGCGATTCAAAATTCATAATTTTTTTTTCAATTTGACTTTATAGGTTCTGGTTCTTCTGAGAGCAATGTCAAAATCAATCACTCTTTGTTGAATACATTTTGCTCCTTACTACTCAGACTTCTACTCTCTCACATATTTCTATATTTTAAAAACGCATTTCTAACTAAATTTTAACTAAAACTGACCAAAACTACAAAACTTTATAAGTATAAGGACCTTTTATGTTATTATTTTTTCATTTTTTTAAGTAATTTCACGCAAAAATTAATTTCAAATCTCACTAACTTTAAACTTCACTCCGGCCTTGGCTTACCTTGGCCAGGAGCGCAGCTGGAGATAACTCAAGGATTCCTGTACGACTGATGACTTCACTGTGGATATCACCGCCGGTTCCGTCCACGGAGTCCATCTTGAAACTAATCGGACGACAAAACTTCGCGCTGAGCACGTCTCAATGGCAGGAGGTGTCTTTGACCCCCAGCAAGACGAGGACCAGGAGCGATATGCTGGTCGCGGTTGACCAAACGTCACTCGACAACATTAAGTTCAGGGAGGGCAACCTTAAAGTTCATATAACTGGTGACAGGCCACAAGCCTTAAGGGAGGAAGCTGGTAGTGGTGCAAATTAATTTCCATCACTCCACTTTGGCCTCCCTCGACTTGATGAATATCAGCATTGACAAAAATATTGATGTGGCCATGGTCTAAGAGCCCTGGCTTGTAAAAGGTAGGGTCACTGAGCTAGGTATGGACGGCTACTGTCTGTTCACCCCAACGACGGAAGGTAAGATAAGAATCTGTATACTGGCTAAGAAGACTTTTAGTAATATGTTTTCTTTTAGCCCAATACAGCACTGGATACCTCACGGCGGTGGTATGCGAGCGCAGGCGCCGGCTTAGCTTGGTGCTAACGTCCTCTACAGCCACCTCAAGTAGTTCACCAACTAGTGTCACGTGGACTGGATCTGGTAACAGACTGCAATGCGAATGGCCACCATGACTCTACCTTTGATTTTATCGTCTCTACTAACCTACTAGTTGTATGCAAAAATGGTAATTAGCCAACGTTTGTAATAGCATTAGAGAATACGATTTAACACTGACCTCGGATTCGACTACCAGCAAGGTTATTAATTGGAAGCAATCCGACAAGTGTTTATTTTCGGACCATAGTAGGATACTCTTTAACATTGGCTTTGAGATAGAATTATCCAAGGCAGTTAGGAGCCCTAGCAATACGAATTAGGAGAGGTTTGCTATGATGACATCCTTTTTAAGCTAGAATTGACTCAAGTTGAAATTAGACGTGGGACTGCCAACATTGATCGATCGGTTGACCGCCTGACTAGGATACTAACTAGGCCACGCACCAAGCCAAAAGCTGTCTGGTGGAATGCTGACCTAGACAGCGTAGATCGATGGGTTGGAGGATTGGGAATACCATGGGAAAAGATTTAACAACTACAAAAGTAAAATTAGGGCTAAAAAGAAACATTCCTGGCGAAAATTTTGTGGTACATTTTAGCCAACAAATTAAGCATCTAGGCTCAGCAAGATACTTTCTAAAACCGATTGGGCAATAGGAAGCATCAAGCGGCCAGATGGCTCATGGACCAACTCCTGCCAGCATTCCTTGGAAACCTTGATGGGCGCACTCCACCATAAAGGCTGAACATGAGCTTTTACTTCCAGCCACCACAAGTATTCGTAGCAGGTGCATCAGCAAAAGGGGTCCTTAGGCTTAGGGAATCAAAATTGCGGAGGCAGGCCAACTATGGGCACGCATCGGTCTTGGAGGTGGTTAATAGTGGACGGCGCAACACAAACTAGGCCGACTAAGATGTCGAAACTGATTACCTCACGTTATCCTGGGACTTTAGTTTTAAGATTCCCTGTCAGGAACCGTCACTATATTCGTTGACAGCCAGGCGGACAGGACAGGCAGTTCGGAAATGCCATGCAACGTTGGCTTCACTGAGTCACGTCGAAACCTTTCTCTGCTGGGTTCCTGGGCATAGCCGATTAGATGGCAAGATACGGCTCGGAAATGAAATTAGCGAAGCGGATAGCTGCCTACTGCCACCGATTTATTTTCTTCTAAGGCGGATTGAAGACTACTCAACAGCTTTAACTAATGACCTATGCATCAATCGGGGCGCTCTCCAAACAAGGCATCTCAAGCATTTGGGAAAACGCTCTTTTAATGCCTTGGGGGGACAGCGGAGGTGAAAATATCGAAAATCCACGACTTCATCTGGTATAGTAAACGGTTTGAAAGACTTTATACAGACTTTAACCGCAGTTAAAAATATGAGCCTCCTCCTGACACTCACAGAGGGCATTCACAATGGGAAAATTTGCCTCCGAGTGGAAGTACCTAACCGAAACTTCACTCGCGTCAAATTCTTCCAAAGTAAATATTCGGTTTTCTCACGCCTATTTCACACATCACTAACCAATTACGGTTGAGGTGAATATTAGTTAAGAATAAAATAGGTGGTAAAACTCACCATATCATCTATCAAAATGATAATTATGTTTGGCTTTGTGTTGCTTTGCTGTTCACTTTGTTGCTTTTCGCTTTGTTGCTGCTGTTGTTGTGGCGTGGGTTGTGTTGGTTGCTGTCGTGGTTGTTGTTGCTCTGTGCTCACTACTTCCGAGTTAATTGTCGTAATCGCAGCCACGTGATGTTGCTGATTGAGCAATGCCGGCAATAGAACGAGAATTGACAACAAATAGAATGGGCCAATCGAGCGACGTTGGCGGCCGACTGGATATTGCATTTTGTGCTTTTGTATTTTTTCTATCGTTTTATACTTGTACGAGTGTTGTGTTTGCAGTTTGCAGGTGGATTTGACTTTTTAGTTCTGCAGTGAGTTGTGCAAAATAATTAATTTAATTAGTTGTTACACTCTTTAAGCTGTTAAGGAAATTAAGTTAGGAAATGTTTGGTAAGAGAATTTTAATACAAATAAGTGCAGCGCGTCAAAATACAACGGCTACGCTGGCTTGGTCATGTCGTACGAATGGACAGAAAAGCTCCAGCTCTGAAAGTATTCAACGCGGGTCGCGATGGTGGAAGATGGGGGCCCCCACTGCGATGGAAGTGGAGAAGGACTTGGCTTCACCTGGCATTGACCGCGTCAGTTGGCGCAGAAGTGAAACAACTGACGTATTGCTTTGGACTCGGACAAAATCGCTTAGACGGTTATAGCGCCAAATATGAAGAAGAAGAAGAAGAACCTTGTGCGTCCCAGATGCATTTGCTCAAGCGAGGATTGGACCAGACCCAACAGCAATGTATGTCTTGTCTGGCAAAAGATTCCGTTGGTTATTTTTATGTAACTTGCTGACTTTAGCTTTTAGAAATTGGACAGATATGGGAGCATTGTACTTTCTATCAAAACAAAACCAGTTGTTTAAATCATTTTTGGGTACTCGCACTGTTTTAAAGTTTGCCGTTTCCCAAGTCCAGACATTTTTTATCTTTACACTAGCTTTCATTTTGACTAATTCTAATAACAGTTGATTTGTTTATTTTAAACTCCATCACACATCACTTTAACTGAAACACCACCTTTTAGTTTTTCCAGAATACTGGTAAGTGTGGCATGCATAAACCAAAAGTGTTATACGTACTGAGGTTAAATTATTTGGAAGTTGCACTTATAAAGGCTAAAAATTTTTGTTTTAGTGACTAGCATTAATCAAGGAATTCCACGTATAGAAAGTTGCGGTTACCCTGTACGCACTGCAAATAATTTTGATCGGATAAACGGAAATTAGGTTACGAAAAATTATAAGGCTCAACCTATGAAAGCCCAGATTTTGAGGGGGTATTCAGAATTTTAAGGGCCGGTTACTCAATGTCTGGTAAACACTAATCTTCGGTTAAACA